TTAAGTTTAACAAGTCTAGAATATACCTCATCATTTTTTTTTTAAAAAGTTTGTTTAAGAAAAATGAGATCAATATCATTCATTCTGAATCAATGCCAAGGGAAAAAAATCTTCAAAAGCATGTTAAAATTTATTCCTTTACTTTGCATTGAAGCTAGATTGTCTAAAAGAAGGGGCCATTAATTATTTAATATAGTATGAAATGCAAATAGGTGGTCTCACTCATTCAAATAAGTTATATCACCAATACACCATAAATAGGTGATAACACCAATTCAAATAATATAATCTATTCAAATAGGTGATATCATCTATTTAATTCAAATAGGTGATATCATCTATTCAAGTAGGTTACTAGCATATCACCTATTCATTTCGAATAGGTGATATCATCCATTCGAAAACGTGATGTCATCTAATCGAATTCAATATACAATATTACCTATTCGAATAGGTTATATAACCTAATCAATTTAAATTAGTAATGGTAAAATTGCCTCTGTTAAAAAATCAGTTACTGTAATTCTTACATTTCAGATTATTTGTCAGTTGTACCACTCAAAGCTTGCGGAACCTAAAACAAAATCTGAAATCGGATATTTATCCAGTGAGGTATCACATGTCAGTAAGTAACATAGATCAAGGCAAGTAAATATAGTGATTACAGTAAACTGTTGATTTATTCTGAAAGGTAACACTAGCAAAGAAAATCACTGATTCCTCGCCTCCTCTGTCTCTTGAGGTGCTGGTGAATTCTGGGTTGGGATTACAGACATTCTCATCGAAAATCATTGGATCTATGATTCCTCCTCGACTCCGATAGAAGTAACAGACTGGGGTCCAAACGAGCCTAACGGGCAAATGATAGAGAACTGTCTTATAATGTCTGCATGGTTTCATGGAAAATATGCCGATGTTGAATGTCATACAAAGCGCAAATTCATTTGTGAAAGAGATGACCCGTAAGTAATGCTAAATAGAAGACTGTTTTGCTGTTCAGTAAAATAAAGAAAATATGATGGACAGTTTCAATTAAAGAAACAATTTTGTGTGAGGTATACTTCTTTTTTATATTCTTTCAGATAAACAATTTTCGTTTATTTCTTACAGGTTGATTGGGCAAATTATTGGATAGAATACCGTATTGTAATGTTTTCAAAAGAATAAAAGTTTTTCTCACCTATTTGAGTTTATATCACTCGAAACATTTTCTGCATTGCTGTTTATTAGCCAGAAATTACTAAAAAAATAATAATAAGATTTCATTTTTATACATCATATGATAAATACGGATTCGTCACATGGTCAAATACCTAAATTCCCAAGCATTTTGATAGATTTGCTCAAATATTGTTAGTAGTTATGCTGTCCTTTCAAACTTTTTAAATGTTTAAGTGACTTCTTACATACAGTATTTATCCCACTTTTGATGTTTTTATATGTTTCTGTTGGCTCTGCTCCTAATTCGTATCATTCCAATGAACTCTTAAGCTCGATTTCTGTTTGTAATCTCCATATTTCATTAATGATTTACCATTAGTTTCATGTCTTTAATGACCCATATTACATTTAGACCTTGCAGATATTCAACTATTAACTGTATCTAGATTTTTCTCTACTTTTAGAAAATTAATTGTTTTTTTTTTTTTTTTTTTTTGGCTACCTATAAATTGATGATGAGCATCTCAAATTAAAGTTCTTATGTTAATCGACCTAGATTTACTAGACTGCATTATCATTTAGAGCGGCAAGCCTCAGTAGAGCACAGGGTTCCGGTTGAAATGAGTAAATCAGATTTAAAATTACCTTAATTAAAATATGGAGATAAAGAACAGTATTCAAGCTCAAAAGTCCATTCAAACAATACAAATCAGGAACAGAGCAAACACAGACCTCTAAAACGTCAGAGGTGGGATCAGGTGCCATGGAGGAGTGAGCATCCCCTACCGACCGGTCACACAGGGTCATACCATCTGCTCCTTGACATGATCGAAAAAACACCCGGAAAAATCTGTCGACAATTCAGTATGTAAATAATGGCATAACAATTAGTATGAAAAGCGTCAGTCAACATTTGACTTAATGATAAATTGTATTTTCAAGGTTATTGTATCGATAATAGAACTTGCAAAATGATGACTTTACACGCGACTGTTGATATTCTTGTTTCATCAACTTGTTTGTCAGTAGCTTGCCTCGTTTTAGAAATTGTACGTAGAGCATGCTCTTGCGTATCGAGTAAACTAAGCGACGTAAACCCCATATGCAGGTGATAAGGGTATATTGCTACATAAGTAAGGGAAGTTGACGATTGAAAAGTTGAGTCATCACGTTTATCATAAAGCTTGGTTGTAAGTTATCATTAAGTCTTTTTCTAATAAGATATCCAAATATGAAACAGATGTGTTAAAGAGAATGTGTCACTTTGCATTATACGGCTTAGGCAGGATAATTTTTCTTCTGCAAAGATTGGAATCGTTAATCCCTGTATAAACAAAGAAAAACCTTTTATTAGGCTCTTCAAGGAACGTAATGTTTCTGAACGTTTTCTGTCAACCTGTGCATCTTTGCAAACAAATGTAGTAAACTTATATTCCTAATATGGTCCCTAAGCAGGGAGTTTAAAGTTAAAATATACATAGAAAAAAATCTTATAATATACCAAACTATGGAACTACAGAACCACCACAAATCGTCAAATTTTACAAGCAAGTACCTTCATAGACAATTTCATTTTTTTTCCTTTAGGGTCTCTGCAAAGGGTATCTATCGTTTAACACAGAAGTGTACAGGGACAAATCTTCTAAAATCTTATTCTCAAGAACTAAGAGACACAATTGTCAAGCTTCTAGGCAGCATTTCCATGAAGTTTAATTGAATATTAATGATTAAATTTTGTTCATATAATGATCTTCAGACACTATGATGTTCAATTTTTACAATACTAAAATACTTCATTTCCATGGACTAGGTGGTTTTAATTGTAAAATTCAAACGCACGCACGCTCCTGTTATGTAGAGTTAAAAACATTCAATATACCGCTCCTTCGATCGACAAGGATGGCGGCACAAAAGTAGTCCAAATTTTAATAAGAAATAAACAAGAAAAATCTTTAAAAATATCTCTCTCGAAACAGGAAACAAATATTCAAACTCATATGCAGTTAAAAATTTACTGCAGAATCAAGACATGAGTGAGGGAGGTTGTCAATTCTTTCAATTATAATCTATAGCAAATAAGACCTACGTTTCGGCGTATTTCAACACGTTGTAAGTTGTGAATTGAAATAAAAAGTCTCTCAATTATCCAATGCTGAAGGTTTCTCGTTTCTTTGACTGATAAATAGAGATATACTTTAACCATCTATTACGTTTTACTGTATTTGTAATTAGTTTACTTTTCCAGCAAACACTTTTGGCTGGCGAGAACGCACAATGCAATGGCTGAGTCTTGTAGTCCAGTATTCTGACAGACAATTGGACAGAAGACATTGAGCCATTGAAACACAGCCTAGCAATTTAGAAGTTCAGAGGCTCCTATTGCAGATCGAGATATATAAATGTTCCGAGGAAAAAGTACACATGCTTATTATTACTAGACTAGAATTTTCTAATTGTGTCCATTAAGTGAAAGTTTAACTAACTTACAGTAAAACTTGTTGGGTTTTTTATATATATATAATTTGAACCCTAGAGTACAAAACAACGATTTCCCCTACACCAGATGGTAAACTCCTGAAAAGAAAAATCAACAAACTTTGAACTTCTTTTGTGAATTCATACCTGCCCCAAGGAGCCTTGGTTTGAACAAATTTGATTCTATGCAACATGGTTTCACATATGTTTGTGAATTTGTGGTCTTGTAGTTCTTTATAAAAAAGTATTTTTAAGCTTTTTCCAGTACATTCCAATATTAGCAAGGTTTTTAAGGCATATTTGTCCTGTGGAGAAAAAGTGGAATTTGTAAAAAGTATACGACCAACAGACGGCATACACAGCACGATCACAGAGGAGAACAGATAACAATAGGTCACCTACATAATATATAAATAAATTAAATATCTTGTCAATAAATAATTTATGAAATAATAGCAAATGAGCTACTCCAATACAAATGAATTGCAATTAGTTTTTTTTAAGTTTATTGAAATACCTAACATTTACCTAGCTGGGACCTGCGCCCCGAAATCTAGATGAAAAGACTTTCACATAATAAATGGGAAAGGGTCATAGCTCATTGTCATCTTAAATGTAGTTTGACTGTTAAGTTTTTAAGTGACCAGAGGTAAGATTTTCAAATCATATATATATATATATATATATATATATATATATATATATATATATATATATATATATATATATATATAGCCAACTTTTTTTAACCTTTGTGTTTTGACCGTGGGTCATGAATTACCTAATTTTTGTAAAAAGGCTTATTATGCTTTCAATTCTTTAATGTAATTATGCAAGCTATTTTCAATATTACAACGTACACAATATAAGTGAATGAACAAAAATGAGTTCTGAAAATATTTGTAGGGAAGATCTACTGAACGCGAACTGTTACCTCTAATATTCGGAAGGGAAATACACCTCGTGAATTTTTGTTGGTGGGGATACTAGGGCCAGAGTCTACAGACCACATGTTATGAATTGAACTTAGGCAATTGTTAGAATGTAGAGACAAGATTCGACTGAAACATTTGCCGATCTTACCATAATTATTGAAAAATGTCACTGAAAGAAAACTGAAAGTAAAATCAAATATTTTTAGTTGAAAAAAATTATTTTATACGCTTTTAATCTAAATGAAATAATGAAACTTACAAGAATGGTTCAGTGAAAGTTTGTGCTATTTTTCCCCATCCTAAGTTTTATGTGGAGTATTTTCATTTCTAATACTAGTGCAGTTTAGAACACTGTGTCACAAGGTTACATTTTATCGCAAACGGAGAGTGACATAATCGTAAATCTTGTAAGAAACTTACTGGACTACAATGATCAGAGTGTGGATTTTATGTTTGTTGCCTCTACTTGTTAATGCAGGTTTGTTACATAAAAGAGTTTTTTTTCTTAGCAATTTCATCGTCTAAGACATCATTAGAAAAACAAAAGAAGCCTTCCTTCTGACATAATTTTTAAAATCATTGACTTATTGGGCAAAGCAAGCTTATCCTCAATATAACTAGAATATATTTACTATATACATCTATATATTTTATGACTAATTTCACGAATAATAGAAATTGCCAAGTTTTCGGGACGCCTTGTCCCTTCCTCAGGACAAAGAAAAGTTTAGAAAGTCATAAAACAAAAGAAAAAGAGAAACAAAAACAACTATTACTACAACTAAAATACCAAATCCCATATACAATTCTGTTACAATTTTACATGTTTAATTCAAAAGTTGAAAACCGATTGATTTAAATTGAAATAATTCCTGACCTCTATAAAATACACCTGGTTTGTTAGTGTACTCTAGCGAAGTCCGATTAACATAACTGAACGAAATAATTACCGCTAATTAATCATGACTTAGTAATAAAGCGTAAATTTTTTTGGTGGTTTTTTTATATTTAACGTAACTTTAAATGATGAAAGAAACAATTGAAAGATATGAATACAGGTTAAATTTTCAAAATGAATTTGGATCTTTTATAGATTTTGAAATGTTTTCGGATATTAGAAATAACACACAATATAATGTATGCAATACATGTAAATACAAATGTTTAGGATATATATATATATATATATATATATATATATATATATATATATATATATATATATATATATATATATATATATATATATATATATATATATATATATATATATATATATATAATATCAGGAAATACTGACTATAGAATATATATTATATTTTGTCTGTTTTACAGAATGCCCGACAGGATGGAAGAATTTCCATAACAAGTGTTACTTTTTGTCGCATACGTTAGAAACCTGGATCGGAGCCTCGGTATTTACAGTGATAAATGTCTATTCTTGCTTAGTGCTAAAGGGGCTGGGACACAGATTTGAAGCTCTTTTTTTTTTTAAATTTTCTATATAATATCATGACATATGTTGTTAGAGCATTTCACACCAAAATATATTAAAAGCGTGTTAGTGTTAAAATTTTTGATCAGGACATGGGTAATAAAAGTTCAAAACCGACGGAGCACTATTTCAAACAAAAAAAGGGCACGCAAGAGAAAGGAATGGGAGAAAATAACGCTTAGAAAGTAAAAAAGAAGTATTAAATTACACTAATAAGACACTGTCAAGCTTTTTAGCACACGGTACAATATAGAAAATGTAGTTTCAATCACTTAAGATTGAGTTATTATATTTGATAAACAGGATCACAGAAAGCTTTGATGGGGAGGGGGTTATTGAAGGAGCAATATTTCGAACCAAAACAAATTAGCGAATATCTCTCTTTTAACATGCACTATGCTTTAGCGCAACGTGTGCTCCATTATTCGCTAACCTGTCTCTAATTTCAATGCGATAGTAAACATATACAGGAATTGAAAATCAAATTATCAACAAAAAAAAAAAAAAAAGCATGACAGTATGCTTAGTAATATGTAAAAGAAAAATTAAAGGAATTCACTGTTTGTGGTGTTTGCAATTGCTTCACTATTTGTGGTTAATATATTTATTTATTTTTTTTTATAAAAAAAAAAAAAAACCTCTCAAATATCTAATTAGTAAGCAGAATTGATTTTAAAATACTTCCCCGTCATGGTAGATCTAACAGTTGTTTTTGATATGATATTATTATCCTTTATTTTTTACTGTTTACTTTTATTCTCGTGAAAGAAATATCCCAAGTTTCGCGACCTTCTTTTACTAGCATAGACGTCGGAAGCAAATTGAAAGTTGGGGGGGGGGAGGCTAAACCAACTGAAATCTTCTACGTCGAGCACACACACAGGTCCCTATTTTCATTGCCTATATTATGTCTATCTTTGTTATAAAAAAAGGGGGGGTTAGCCCCCTAGCCCCCCCCCCCCCCGTTGCGACCTGACGCCTATGACTAGCGAAAATTTCTAGCCGGGAACCGTTTATGAAATTGTTCACTGATTTTGAATGTTTCATCAGACGCGAAAATTAGTAGTCATTGATGTATTTCAAACAGAAGAATCGAAAAATTGTCGTTTGTAATAATTTGTTAATTTACAGTCTTAACAGACATTGGCAGGTGTGTATGTGAATGAAAGGAGCGACATCTGAATGTAGACATTGCATGTTTAGCTTGAATTTCCTCTAATTCCAGTAAAGGTTCAACTATTCTTACTCCTCACCAGAACATTAACTGCTGTGAAGGAGAAACTGCAGACGTGCTACAATTTATTTAAAAAGTGGTGTGAGTCAAACGTGGATTCTTAAAAACTCCAAAGAATTCTTGGGATAAAATCTCAAAAGTTTACATACAACAATAGCATGAAAACATATGACTTTCCATTAGACTTAAGTGATGATAAATTAAAAAGCAGGCTTTTTGACATCACGAACAACTTCTTCCACAATTAATACGGAACTCGTTAATGTTCATATCTTGTGATTGCTCAACTAAACATGACTTTGTTACTAATCCTTCTTATTCTACATACATGTGTATTGAAGTTGATATTAAAAAGATGCTAGTTGGAGTTCCTCTTTGACAAAATCTACGTACTCTTTGGAGCCTAGCTTTTCCAACAATCTATTGGAATTTCGATCTTTTATTAGCACAAAAAACAGGTCGTTTTATATACCCATGAAGAAGAATTCATTCATAAACTTCTTCAAGAGAAGAAGAAATTTCTTGCTGTGAACTTCAACTCGCCATTTAGATATAAAGGCGACGTTTTACCAATGAACAATACCCGGTAGTTACTTGCATTCATATGCGACTCTTTATATCCCAGTGAACTCGAAATAAAAGACAATGCAAAGTCTGCCACATCCATTTCATATTTGAATGTTTTACTGACTATAGACGATAATGGCAAACTATACTAGTAAAACTGTATGACAAACGGGATAACTTCAACTTTTCCAAAGTCAACTTTCCTTTTTATGTAGCAATATTCCAATATTACCTGCACATGTTGGTTTTGTCCAACTGATTAATACAGAAGATCATGCTCTGCATACGATTTATTTTTAAACCGAAGCAAGCTATTGACAAGTAAGTTGAAATTACACAAGCTACTGACAAGAAAGTTGATGTTACAAGGATTTCAACAACCCCGTATATATTCAGCTTTTTGAAAATTGTACGGTTGTTAAAATGGCATTGTTTGTAAATACAACCTATCGTTGGGTCGTCTTTTGTCTGAAATGTTCATACCATATGTTAGGTCATTGCTTTTATACTAAATTTAACTCCGTCTACCTGATCAATACATAGCTATTAAGTGGGTGTAACCGGTCGACAGGGGATGCTTACTCCTCCAAGGCACCTGATCCCACCTCTGATGTTTCCAGGTTTCCTTGGGTGTTTTTGTTCAGTTCACGATTCGTTTTGTTCACTGGGTTTATGTGACTGATCACTGTTAGTTATCTTCACCTTTCACACTACAACCTTTCCACTCTACACACGAACTTCTTAGCGCCAACTACTTCATTACTACGGCTACGTGTTTTCTAAGTTTCGATACATGTAGCTGTCACTAAAACCTTGAGGACCACGATACGATCTCACGTCGTGACTGTCACGACAAATCAATGCTTCCAGCATGACTAGAAATATGGCTGTCTGGTAGTAGCGTAAATATGGCATGGTACAATCTTGTGCGTAGCTGCATCAAAATCGTACCAACGTCATGATTGCCTTCTCACAGGAAGTAGTTTTCCTATTTTCCACGATCGAATAGATCGTGAAGGTAGTTTACTAAAGACTTGTCCGAAAAGCTACATAATTACTATAACCGGACGTCCCCTGTGTTAGATAATTTTTGTACAATCATTCATGTAAACTAGGCAACGGGGTAGGACCAAAATTTGCTCTCATCATATTCAATGTTTATGGCATACATATCTTTTAAACCTCACAATATGATAAACTTGTTTTGACTGTAGTAGGTAGGGAGTTAATTCTGGAATATGTATCTCAGCTTAGAAAGCATTTTTCTAGCGATACAATTGGATTTTTTACGAAACAGTTAATGTAAATCTTACATTTCAGATTATTTGTCAATCGTTCCACTCAAAGCTTGCAGAACCTAAAACAAAATCCGAAATCGGATATTTATCCAGCGAAGTCTCGCATGTCAGTAAGTAACTCAAATCAAGGAAAATAAATATGGGGAAACACTGAAAACTTTTATAACGTTTTCTGGCAAAAATTATCAGATGTTATTTTTAAAGCTATATATGGCGTATCTGAGCTTAAAATAAAAATAAGAAATTGAGTGTAGATAAACATAATATATGTTATTTACGTTCAAATTCAAATTTTCACCGATTTTGAACTTGAATAACCTCATGTTTCCATAGTTAAATTGACTTTAAACTGTGTCTGTTATTTAAAAGCGGAGTCTATAAATAAATCCGTTATTGTTTTAAATTTCTAATATCTGAGAAACGTGATTGATATAAATTGTGTAATTTACAGGAAAGTTCTATCTTTATATAAAGTAAAAAAAAAAAAAAAAAAAAAAAACAAATAGAAAGATTTTTTTCATTTCAGTTAGTCTGAACTTTAAAAAATATGCCATATATGACTTTAACCATTGCGTGCTTTTGAGGTGCTGGTGAGTTCTGGATTGGGATTACAGACATTATTGCGGACAACCAGTGGATCTATGATTCATCTTTGACTCCGATAGAAATAACAAATTGGGGGCCAAACGAGCCTGGTGGGCACCTGGCAGAGAACTGTCTTATCATGTCTGCATGGTTTCATGGAAAATATGCCGATGTTGAATGTCATACAAAGCGCAAATTCATTTGTGAAAGAGACGAACCGTAAGTTTTGCAAAATAGGAGGAGTTTGTATGTTTCGGTTCAGTAAAATGAAGGGGAAAATAGGACAATCACGATCTAAAAAACGAGTGTGTTTCTGGCGTGAAAAAAAATGTTTTTACATTTTCTTATGCTTTCTACATTTTGTCAGATAAATAAATGACTTTCGTATATTGTTTACAGGTTGATTGGACAGCTTGTTGGATAGATTACCGTATTTCAATGACTCTAAAATAATAAATGTTTTCTAACCATTTGTGTTCACATCTTCCTAAAACATTGGCCCCACCTTGATTTGGTTCAGAGTATACTGTTAAATCCAGTTGGTCAATTCGGAGTAAATAAGGACAAAAGAAGGATTTAAAGAAAATCTTGTATCATTATAACTGAGTTAAAACACATGGTAAGGATGTTTGATCCTTCGTGATCTGGACTTGTACTGGCATTCTATGATTTAGTACATTTTTGCAGCTTAGCAAGAAAACAGTTGATTAAAATCTTCCTAAAATGTTGAGATGTTGAGAGAACAGAACGGAATAGATGAATTACGGAAGGGGGATCCAAAAGTGAAAAGAGCTCATGCAATTCTTGTCAACCCAGAGCGGTGTTTGGATTGAATATTTGAAAATCATTAAAGCCCTTGGTTATTGGTTAGTAGTTCATATTTGAGGTCTGTTACCCTGGGAACTTATGATAATGGCCTGTCTTACACTTGAAAATATAGTTTTCAGAGATAGAAAACTGAACATGTTAATTGTTTTTGTCACAGAGAAAAATATACCAGTAATTAGTGTAGTAATTTTTATTTAAATTGGTCTTGTATTAATTCAAAATGGATGATTCGCAATAGGGAGCAGAAAAGTGTCCCTACTTTTTTTTCAAGCTTCTTTATTTCCATAAGGATGACGTTTACTCAGGGTTTAAGACAGAAACGGAATGCTATAAAGTACAAAATGTTAAATAAAAATTTGATTTAAATGGGCAAAATAACCAAGTTATAACTCAATATCAATTTAAAAACTTAATACCTTATTATTTGTAGGAAATATGCAAGAACAAAAGCACATATAAAGTGATGCAGAGGAAAATTGGACTAAATTTTAATTTATTTATTTTTGAACACAATTTTTTTTTTGCAATATCATTCAAAAAGTTAAGATTCTATGTGTTTTTAAACATAATTTTGCAAATATTATGAGTGTTAAAGTTCATGTATTATTTAAAATAATTGAATGACATGCAATGAATAATTTCAAAAATATGAACGAAAACCATTCCAAACAATATATCTAAATAATTGATCTCACATAATTTTTATACCAGCAGAATAGGGGCAATAAAAACAAAATGATGCTATAAATAATTAAGAGTTCTTATCACTCAGATGTTTGAAATATTGGACTAAAAAAAAATAAAAATGGGTAAAAATTTGAAAACTGACAGAGGAAATTCGGACTGTAATAATGAACAAGTTTATGGATCAAACTGTTTTATTTACATGTAGCAAAGCTATTTCATTCCTATTATATTATTGAAAGAGTTTTGTCGCTTTTAATATTTTGTGAGTAAAGAAAATATTGGACAGAGTTTGAAAAATTGAGGTATTTTCCAAAAATACTCAGGGGACACTAGCATGAAAAGTAGGTCATTGACCTAGTTATTTGAAAGTGAATAATAACACTGCTATTATAGGTCTACAATGTACAATAGTTGTTTTTTTGTTCTTATCAGTGAAATTTTTTGTTATTTGAGTAAACGTCATCCTTAAGCCAATTGGTTCATCAGAGTAATGAGTACATGTGATTAAGAAAACATCATACAGAGAGAGTGAACGTAAAATACATGCATGTAAAATACATGTTATACAACAATATTATTTTTTCTTGACAATGTGGCAGCATTCAAAAATTTGCCCAAATTTAAAAGATCTTTCACATTATTAGTACTTGGCAATTGAATTAATTCAAAGACACTAGGCTTAGTATAATAGTACTTTTTCAAAAATTTCTCTCATATGTCGTTATACAAAGGGCATTTCAAAATAAAATGAAATTCGTTTTCTATATCATTGAGATTACAACATATGCATAATCTATTGATCTTAGTTATGATATTGTGTCAGCCTTCAATGTATGACTTGGTAACCTAATTTTTTTTAATACGGTAATTGTCTAAATATTTTGTCAATAGGTTTTGTAAAATATGATTGCAAGCAGAAATTGTCAGTTAAATGTTGATATAAATAAACCTTTGGAGAATTTGATATACTTTCTTTCTGTTATATTTTCCTTAGAAACATCTAAAAGTCGTTTTTTATAATACTATATGCTCTATCATTTAAATGGGGTTCTGTCTAAATTTGACCTAGTCCTAGAAAAGTAAGATTTTAATATGCAATTTTCTTTTGTTCTTAATTTGATCCAGTATTTAAATATTCCAAGTTTTATTGTAATAGCAAGTGGAAAATGCAAAGCTCAAAATTGATCAAGTTGTTTGAGGTTTTATTACAAATACCGAGAGTATTCTTACAAAAAATTAAATGTACCTTTTCTACATCAGAACATCTATGAAAACCCTATTTGGTATGATTAAGTTCATTAACCTCAAGACAACAGATCCACAATCTGCAAATATGCTGATTAAAATGTCGAACATACCAATTATGCACTCTCTCTGCGACACAATTCAATGTCAGGGATAAACACACTACACATTTGCCCAAAAATTGATTACTTATTCTCTGTGGTCCAGATGTACATCTGTGGAGTAGTTACTGAACATGAGGGCTAATGACAAAGGTTTCGTCTTCTGAAATTCGTAAATCCAAAAGGACCAAAGTTTTATTTTCTGTTTCCGCTCATAAGGAGATCGATGTTTTTGTTTATATGGTTACTTGACGGAACCTGCGAGTACGTATACATCAGGAAGTAAAATTCAAAAGGAACTAAAAGTGTTTTGTTACCTAGTTTAAGGAATTATTTTTCCTTTCGTTATGAGCGGTTTTTTTTTTACTGTCATTAATTTTATTCCTGTGGTTTTCTTTCTTTCATTCTTTTTGTTAGGCCATTATTTACACACTGACTTGTCTACGAATTTTTCCGTTTGCCCAATCATGACAATGAGCACATGGTGGGTGTGACATGTCCACAGGGGATGCTCACTCCTCCATGATGTTTTTAGAGGTCCGTGTTTGCTCTTCGTTTTTTTTTTTTTTTTTTTTTAATTTTGTTTGTTTTTTTTTTGTTTGTTTGTTTATTATTATTATTATTATTATTTTTTGCTGTTCAGTCTTGGAATGTAAAAGGGAAAAATACAATGATCAATCGCATAAATTTAATAAAGAATGCATCTTGTGAACAGTTCAAAAACACTTACACCTGGAGCCACCAGGTTGGGATCAGGTACCTATCGGCCACGCCCGAAATGTTCAGGTAAACGTAGTAATCTGTGTCGACATAGGCAAAATTAGTGTAAAACAATTGCTTAACAATTGGTATGAAACATATCAGTCAAAATAAGACTCAATAATAGATTGGACTTGCAAACAAGATCATTATTATGATTATAGTGAACATAAAATTTGCAAAACCTGACTTTAAAGGAGATAACCTTGTAACATCAACTTATTTTTTCAGTAGCATGACTCGGTTTAAAAATTGATCGTACTAAGAACATGCTCTTGCGTACCAAATAAGTTCGAAGATATAAACAACTATAATGCAAGTGATATTGGGATATTACTTCATAAAATAGGGAGGGAGTTGACGCTGAAAAAGCTAAAGATGTTTGTCATATTGTTTAGTAGAAATGATACTCGTTGCTCAAAATTAATATTGATTCTGATTGAATGATTACGATTTGGAAAATAGCAAACTTATATATCAGCAAATTGTTGTCACAGTATGTTTTGAAGGTTTCTGTTGGAGAGAACTTTAAGACTTTCAATTAAATTGACTGATAGAAATAAATTTGATTTGATTCGCGGCAATCATGTTCTACCGCAGGAAATATACTGTAAGGATCGACTGGCTTGCTATAAACTTTATTATCATGTATGTACTTTGTGCAGTTTGTACTTATATTTTTTGTGGACACAAATAGCAACAGTATAAATTGAGGCGTTGCTTGCGAGAAGAAAAGAAATAAATTTTAAGAAAGTGCAAGACATGCGCGATTTGACAGGGATCATTGATCTCTGCAAATGTTTCAAAAAACACATTTCCCTTTTGCTTTAATTACGCATATATTTTTAGCAATTTTATATTTAAAGTTCGTTCTTTCGTCCGAGCTGTTAAAAGTAGATCCTAATTTATGGAATTAAGTGCTTTAATATGTTTGACGTTTTGCACACTTTGTACTGCGTTACCTTTATAGATTTATTACAAAGGGATACACTTCATATACCAGATATTAATATTGAACCCACGCGCAGGCAGATTTTCTAATTAATATAATCCACGTACGCGAACATCACACCTGTTCTATGAATGGCTGACTCCACGACAAAAAAAACTTGATTCGGGAAACTGCATAGCCAAAGAAAATGACAAGTTTGATAGCTTTTGATCTTTGATGTAGTCTCTTGAATAGACAATGATATTGTATTATGTTTTATAGGTAAAACTGACAGCCCGATATCGTATTACGTTTTATATAAGTGAGACTGACAGCCTCATGAGGACCAGTTTGTGACGGATTTCAGAAGCAAGGTAAGCTTGGTCTCCTGGATTCAGAACGTCCTCACGAGATTGATTTGTTTTCTGTGTTCTTTATATGTCATCTGACTCATCTTCGTGGCCTATTGTTATCGTCCGTCTTCTTATAAACTTTTGAGCATTTTGTCTTCTTTTTTGTAATGGCTGATTTTTAGGATTTAGTTTGTCATACTAAATATACATGTACATGTATCTTAGAATTTTTCTAGCAAGCAATATTTTGCAACAATCAGACGGCTACCAAATCAAAGCCAATGACTTTAGTGTTGAAAGCCAAACCTTGAACTAATTTGGTCACATTGTTTCATAAGTTCTGCTCAGTTCCTGAATATAAGCGAGCAACATGATAACATGATTTTGATGAACAATGAGCATTAAATTGCTTAGTTCATATTGCAGGGCATATCATAACTGGTAAAGAGTTTGTGTCTGTCATGCTTTTGCGGTAGAAAAAATATACTACTGACTTATCAAAAAAAATTGAAAATATAAAAATGCAGCAGACAATGAAATATATGATGTAAAACTCCAACTCCTGGTGACCAAACAGATAAAATGAGAATCTCGAATAACATTAACTAACTTATGCAAGTCAACAATTCATATAGCTGCAGAAATCTAGAGTTTGTTCGATATTTCTCAGAAAGATACTTTTTTGTCTTCTACAAACAAACTTTGAAAGCAGCAGATCTAAATTGAAAACATATACATGTATACATATATGAGTTATAATAAATTTGAGCACTGAGAAGCAAATGCTGCAAAACAAATGGATTTCAGTTCTTTTATCTAAGCTTTAGCAGCGTTAGAAAATGTAATGATGGAATTTCTATACATGCTAAGTATTCTTGATCTGCTTTCAATTAAGTTGAAAAATCTGTGCAATATTACGGGAATATTGTAGAGTTGTAATATTATCGATTTTCTACACATGTATAGGATTATGCAATAACGCCATATTTTTTTAATCCTAGATGCCGAGCTACCCAAATCCTTGGTTACTGATATGTATTGTAGTCTTGGAAAAAGTGAACTATGTTTTTGGACAATTTAGTCCGCCTTCAAAACCAGAATTAATTGTCCAACCTTCAAGTTTCCAAAGCGCTGGACAATTAAAACCAAACCAGATGCAGCAAAATATATATCCAGATTTGTTGGCTCAACGTCAGTACTACAATGGTCTAATGAGCCGAATGTTGGAGATCAATAAAAGTAAGTCCTCTAAATCCAGTCTTAACAATGTGGATGAAATCAAGGAGTGGAAATTCACCGATCCACACAATATGGTGGACACATGGGCCCCACATAGCGGTAGATGGGAGTATTTGGGGGACTGGAGAGAATCGGACCGGAAGAGCAAAGCAGCTCCGGCAAGGGCAGTTCAACGAACCAACATCATAAAGTACTTTTTTAGAAGAGGAATTTTATTTAGACCAAAATTGGATGGAAGCAATGTGCATCGACCAGTTCACAATATCCCAGTTTTTCATTCGAGACCAATGGTAAATAATGATGAATAATTATAATATTTATAAAAATTAATTCGATTTTAAAAAATGCACTGTTGTTTAAAAAATATCATCCCCACTGACATTCATTGAAAAAGGAATTATACAATATCTCTATATTTTCTCCTTGAGTACGTTTAGCTCACCTGAGCCGAAGACTCTAGTGAGTTTTTTCTCATCAAAATCTGTCCTTTGTCTGTCGTTGTCGTCTTCGTGAACTTTTCAATTTTTATCTTCTCCAAAACTCGATTAATTTCAACCAAACTTGCTACAAAGCATTCTTGGGTAAAAGGGATTCAAGTTTGTTCAAATGAATTTTAAGGGTCATGCCCTCTTTCATGGGGAGATAATTAAGAATTAGTTTAAATTAAATGGTATCTTTCAAAAATTTTCTCAAAAATCACTGGACCAGAAAAGTTTAAATTTATGTGAAAGATTCATTACATAGTGTAGATTCAATTTTATTAAAATCATGACCCCTGGGGATCAAAGTTGTTCAAAGGAATATGTGTGAAATATCTTAAAAATTCAGACCGAGAGGCGTGGTTTCGATTCTCGTTTGCCGCGCCTCGTCAAATCTAAGACGTAAACATAGGTAGTGACTGTTCCTTCGCCAAGCCTCGGCACTAGAAGTGGAAGTCACGGGTCTTTTGGATTAGACCTTAAAAACCGAGATCCCGTGTCAAGGTAGGCGTAAGCACGATAAAGAACCCTCACTGCTCAATGGCCCTGAGTGCCGAGTATAGGTATAAATTCGAAGCCCTTGACCGGCATGCAGTGACTTCTCTATATGAGTGAAAAATTCGAATGGGACCTTAAACAACATACAATCAATAAATCAATCAATCTTAAAAATTCATCTTCTCAAGAACAGTAAAGCCATGAGTAGTCATAATAATACAGAAACATCCTCGGGTAGTGTAGATTCAAGTTTGTTCAAATCATGACCCCCTTGGATAGGGTTGGGCCACATTAGACAATCAAACTTTTTCACAGGAATATATAGGGAAAAATCCTTTTAAAAAGCAAAGCCATGATTAGTGATATTAATATGGAAGCAAGTTTTTTCATCACACTCCACCTCCCCCTGGGGTTAGGGTGGGACCATTTATATATTTAAACATTTTAGTCCTGAACTGATTATTGTATATCTCTAACCAGAGTGCTCAGGGGAACGATGTGATCTATTGGCCTTTAATTGGCCTTTTGTTTATATCTATGAAAAATTGGGAGTTAAAGATTTTTTTTATATATTTCAGAAACTTTTTAGATGACTGCGTCACGTTCCATAATTGTTTCATATTTGGATGGCCATCTGTTTGTACATTCGCAGTCAATTCCTTAAATCTCTACGACAGTTTGGAGAAGAATAATAACGTATTTACACAAACACTACAAAACAGACATCCCTTCATAAAGAGACAGCATTCTTCCAAGTAGAACCGACCCAATAATGTTTATATTTATATTTACTTGCATAATTTATTATATTTTTGTTTGATTTTGCATATTAAAAAAATTGTTCATATTACATACATGTTGTCCAGGACAGACTCTTGGAGCCACCACGTGTGTCGGAAGATAATTATTCTAACTCAACCCATCGGTTCCTCAAACTTAAATTTGCCAACAAAGGAATAGATGCTGTAATCATAAATAGCATTCTTAATTATAAAAAAAAAAATCAGTCTTGCATTCCACCATATTTCAAGTTGAAATCTACGCCTTGCATTTTCTACAGATATTCCCAAACTGTTGCCTCCAAACTTTTCAATTATAAACAACCCTTACAATGCCTAGATATTACACATCTAACACAAAATTCTTTTAAGTGTTCTTGTTCTTTTCCTTCGTTTAACTACATCCCGCTGGACACGTCATTACCAGTGATGTTAATATATGACGGACCAAAAGCAATCATTCTAAAAGGTCCTATATACAGAGAGCCCCGATCTTTCAATTGGCGGCAGAATTTCATTTCTTTTGTGAATTGTGTCGAATGTTGGACCACATATGAAGGGGAATACCTGAACACTATCAGAATGGCTTAAGTGTTTTAGAAATATATTAAAGATTCGTGTAAGGAAATTAAAAGGCAATACACAAACGATCTATCCTTCCGCTTTTACTAAATTGGAGGTGATAAAAGAATTAGAAAGAGTACACGAACAATATATTATGGTTCCAGCAGAAAAGGCTTGTACCAATATCGTCTTTGTTTTATAACTGTATTTTAGAAGAACTTGGTTTTAACTAAATTCAACATATAATCATAGTTCACTTTCTAAGGAAGAAATTCTTCACAATCGCATTTCAATCTTTAATACTTTTAACATTTAAGTCAAGGTGAGTTCGATCTATTTTACCGGATTCCTAAACTTCATAAAAATCCTTACAAACAAAGATGTATTGTCGGGTCCAGTAATTGTTGTGCCAAGTCCCTTTTTTATAATAATAATTGTAAAAAAAACAATAAAAAATTATTTAAAGGGGGTAATCCGATTAATGCAAAGCACTAGTCTTCCTCGGGGCCATTTATGCATGTATAATACAATTATGAATGCAATAATTATAACAAAAACAATAAAAAATTATTTAAAGAGGGTAACCCGATTAATGCAAAGCACTAGTCTTCCTCGGGGCCATTTATGCATGTATAATACAATTATGAATGCAAAAGTACAATAATCATATAACAAGTACATGACACAGGTGAAATACATTTGAAAAAGTACATGTAAAATAAGTTACAAATAAGGAAATGCTGAGGCAATTAATAGATTTTTCTACATTTTTACGAAAGAATTGTGCAGTTGGTGAAAAACGTACATATAAAGGTAATTTGTTCCATAAATGAACACCTGAATATTGAGAAGAATTTTTGTACAGATTTGTCGATACTTTGGTTGACGAAGGTCAAAATTGGTTTTAGAACGTAGAATATAATTATCAGAAGAATTGAATTCAAAGAAGACTCTCAGATATTCAGGTGCCATACCACGAAATGTTTTGTAAAGTAATATGTATTTGTGAAAATTAGTCAATGCATATGTGGTCAACCAAACAAGTTTCTCAAATAATGAAAGTGATCGGGCATCTGGAAACATATCTAATATAATTCTGACTAGGGCAACTATTTAATAATAATTAGTATTTAAAAACTGTCTATGCCAGCACCTGGAGCCTTGCCCCAAATAGTCAAACAATAATTTAAAGAAGGCAGAATGTATGCATTATAGAAAAGTTTTCTTGTGTTTAATGGGAGATTTTTTTTTAATTTTACGTAATATAAAAAGTGTATATAACAAGGATTTACAAACAGAATCAATATGACTATTGTAGCACAATGAATGATCAATATGCACTCTCATAAGTTTTTTTTCTGATTCACTTTCTTCATTCCTCACAAAAATATTAACTGCTGTTAAAAAGAAACTGCAGACGTACTGTGATACAGCATATTCTAGAATACTATATTGATAAATTGAAAAAATAATTCTACATTTAACAAATGAAAAATTCATTTTCTTATCTTTCTGTATTGATGGGGTACTATAAGCTCTAAAATATTTTGAAATGATTTTCAGGAATTTGGAGAAATTTATATATGCATTTAACGACAAATTTTGTTTTAAATATTTTTTTAAATATAATACCTTTGGACGAGTCGTGCACCTTGTTTGCTGGATTTCTTACTTTGATCATACAAGACATAGCATGGAGTACTCTTTTTTTCCTTGTTGTGCTACTCAGAAGACAGCCCTCCGTCTTTATCGGCCGCAGTGGATCTATTTCTGGTTGTGTTAGAAAGTGCAAATGGGGAAATGAGGCGTTATTTTTTGCTTTTTCGAAAGAATAATTCCGTATTGAAAGTATGTATCAAAGTTATGAATAAATAATTCTGAAAACAGTTTATGTTATGTCTTAATTATTTTTAGTAATGCCTTTCAATTTTTGTCAATTATAATCAGATATTAATTTATGATTTTACAAATTTCATACCACGGGAGTGTACAATGTGTATATAAAAGCAACTCGATATGATAACGAGTTTCCGGAAAATTACAGTTCTTGAACAATTAGAGAAAATTGGTACTGAAGTTGGGTTGGCACTGTTTATGATTTAAAATAAATTTCCAAAACTGTGAGTGAATTTCATCTACCGAAAATAATAGTTTAAAACTTTTTCACAGACAATAGCTAGGTTGTGATTTCTGCATTTGTCAACTCCGTTACATTTTTTGTTGTTGTTGTTTGATCGTTATCAGGTCTTTGGGATTTCAATTTAAAAGAACCATTTTTCCAGAAAGATTCACCTAGATATTTGAAAATCTTACCTGTTTCAGACTGGACAACATGGAGACTGAATGTTACATGATTTTTTTTCCTTTCCCAAAAATAACAATTTTAGCTTTGTTACTTCTTACATGCACCTTCAAGTACCTCATGTTGCAATATTTGTAGTAAAAAAAACACATTTATTTCAACCTGTAGATCTTTTTAACCAAAAGTAATGTATCGTCGGCATATAATGGAATATTATTTTCTAAAGTAAACAATAATAGTATACTGTTTGTCTCGTTTTCCATAAACTTAATACTTAGAAAAAATGACAAAGTTACTTATTTTCTTGACAACACAACTGGAATCACCTTGGACTAACTGACGAAAAATGCATTATGCGTTTCTGTCCTCCACGTCAACACTAATGGAATCACTATGGACTTTGATGACCATATCATGTGTTACTGTACTGCTTGTAAACACGACTGCTGTATCATGATCGTATGTTACTGTACTAAGGTTACTATTCCTCTAGCTAAAACATTACATAACGCACTGAGGAAAGCTTACTTACCTCTAGATTCACGGTCTCGGATATACATAATTAATGTAAGCTCAAATATATGTATATCTATACAATATTCTGTCTTGTGTAATCAATACAAAAAAATAGGTATTATACAAAAATGTAACCTGGAAAAGATAAGATATTTTGGTTTATTACTGAAGACCAATCAAAATCTATTGATTGATGAGAACACTTCCTCACTGCTGATAATGCTTTCATGTCATGAAAGGAAATTAAAAAGGTTAAATATCACGAATAACTAGTGATTTATGGTGTTTCTATAGAGTAATAGATATTGGTTCAGTGACTCCTGGAATTTTACAATCTCATGCCTAGAATTTTTTCGGCAATTGGTAAAATGTTAAATTAATATCACACAAAAAGACACTTTACGAATGAGCGTAGGGAGTAGTCCGGTGAATGTTAAAATTGTTAATTCAAAATGAAAAGTGATTGAAGAAATGAAGAATATGAAGTTTTTCGTTTGCTATTCATGCCTTTTTCTAGTAAAATATTCAAATGTAAAAGAGATGTGTCAGATTCTGTGGTGTCAGTTATTTTGAGTTCACTGTGACATATCGAATTAATGTAGGAATGAAAATGAATATAGTTAATTGATAAAACGTCGTCAATATATCTAAATGTCGAATTGATTTTTTTTGTTTATCGTCCCTCTCGAGAATTTTTCACTCATATGGAGACGCCACCACTTGCCGGTGGAGAGCTACAAATTCTCACCTATACTCGGCACTCAGGGCCATTGAGCAGTGAGGGATCTTTTTCGTGCCAGCACCTACTGCGACACGGGACCTCGGTTTATACGGTCGCATCCGAAGTATCGGTCTCCACGTCCCACAGTGGGATTCGAACCCGCGACGTAAGGATCAATGTCGAATTGAAGACCACAGCAAGAAATTTCTTCTTTTCAAGTAAAAGTTTTTGAAAAAATTCTGCTTAATATGAATGCAAAATTAGGTCTACTAATAACAGGGCACAATTGGTACTCACGGGAATTCCAACAGATTGTTGGAAGACTTAATCTCCAAAAACTACATAGATATTGTCAATCAGAAACTCAAGCATCTTTTAAATATCAACTGTGGATACTTAAAAAAACTCCAAGGAACTTTTAGAAAATTTGAAATCACAATTTTTTTTATAAAATCAATAACATCCAAACGTACGACTTTTCAACACTTTATACAAACAATCCCCATGATAAATTGAAGTCCTGGCTTTTTGACATCATAGACAGCTGCTTTTTCCAAAAAAAAAAAAATGGAACTCGTAAATAAACTTACCTTATCATTGGTCATTTGCAAAATTATTTTGTTAAAAAGCATTCTGATTGTACACACAAGTACTCTAAAGTTGATATTAAAAGATGCTTGAGTTTCTGATTGACAATATCTATGTAGTTTTTGGAGATCAGGTCTTCCAACAATCTGTTGGAATTTCCATGGGTACCAATTGCAATCCATTATTAGCAGACCTATTTTTGTATTCATATGAAGCAGAACTTATTCAAAAACTTCTACATGAGAAGAAGAAAATACTTGCTGTGGCCTTCAACTCGACATTTCGATATATCGACGACGTATTATCAATTAACAATAGTTACTTCCATTCATACGTCGACTGGATATATCCTAGTGAGCTTGAAATAAAAGATACCAGAGTCTGACACATCTGTTTCATATCTGGATATTTTACCACAAAAGACGTTAATGGTAACCTAACAACAAAGCTTTGTGATAAACATGATGACTTCAACTTTCCAACCGTCAACTTCCCTTACTTATATAGCAATATACCCTTATCACCTGTATATGGGGTTTATGTCTCTCAGTTGATTCGATATGCAAGTGCATGCTCTACGTATGAACAATTTCTAAAACGAGGCAAGCTATTGACAAACAAGTTGATGAAACAAGGATATTAACAGTATCGTATGAAGTCTTCATTTCGCAAGTTTTATAGTCAATACAATGACCTTGTCAGCACATATAATCTATCATTGAGTCAAATGCTGACTGACGTTTTTCCTATGATTGTTAGGCCATTATTTATACATTGAACTGTCTACGGATTTTTCCGGGTTTTTTTTCGATCATGACAAGGAGCACACGGCGGTTGTAACCGGTCAGCAGGGAATGCTCACTCCTCCAGGTACCTGATCCCACCTCTAACTTTTGAGGTCCGTGTTTGCTCTGCTCCAAATTTGTATCGTCTTATTGGACTTTCGAGATAAACTTGAATACTGTTCTTTTCTTCATATTTCATATTAACTACATCCATAATAAGGTAAGCGATTGATTTTATTTAAAATCTTCAACAAGTATTTAAACATCCTAAACAAGCATTCTGAGAGTATTGCATTAGCAATACTAGTCCCCTACCGGCAAGTGTAATCTGGTTCCCGCTAAAAATTGAAAATGCCATAATTCCGTCAAAAATCAATGAAGCGGGACGAAATGCGAACTTCTTCTATAACTTATCAAGGTTAAGTGACATGCCAAAAATCAGCTCAATATTTGCAGGCGTTTAGGAAAAAATTGCGGAAAACCCTGAAAAATTGAATAAGTCGTAATTCCGTCAAAAATCATTAAAGCGGAACGAAAAGCAAACTTGATCTGTAACTCATCAAGATACCGTCACATACCAAAAATCAGCTCAATATCTGCAAGCGTTTAGGGAAAAAGTGCGGAAAACCAAGTGGGACAGACTGACAGACAGAGGGACAGACGGACAGATAGACGGACTGACGGACGAACGGACAGCCTCAGAGGAAACCTATAGTCCCCTCCGGTTTCACCGGTAGGGGACTAATAACCAAGAATAAGACAAAGGTATACGAATAGTTTCAAAATATAGCGTAGTTGCAATTGTTGATTTGCGTACATGAAAAATTCTTATTTGTATAGTATAACTTTTTTATATTCTGTATTTTCCATTTGCATTGACACGCCATATTTTTTGATCAACCTTTGTATCGTACTTATAAACTACATCAAGATACATACTTCTGTGTAATTATTTTCGACAACTGGTATTGCCATGAATTTGGCTAATTAAAAATACTTCTGTATTTTTAATATAATTGCAATAAAACCTGGCAAGAAAATATTGGCATGCAAAGATATACATCACTGCGAGAAATAGTGTATAATTCTGTAAAGTCTGTGTCATTGGTTTCAAAAATATAATAATCTGTGAATGCCTTCCAAAACGTTACTCTGATCGTACAGTTTTGTTCATTTTCAATAAAACATAGCAGAACACGCCACTTGTGAACAAAACTACAAAAATATCATCGCATAAAATTTTCTTTGCAATAATCCTTGAATGGATTCTACTCGTGGCTATTTTATCGTAACTCGATGTATGTAATTTGAAAAACGACTTTGTAAAGCCTTAGTAATTAATTTATTCAATTAAAGACATTGTAAATCATAACCAAATGACTTGATCTTTTACAAGATTTATTGCATAAATGAAACCTCGGTATGACAATGTCAACTAAACAGAGTTGTGATTATCGGTTATCATATCACATTGAATCAGGACCATTTTACAAGAGAACTTTTATTTAAAATTCTGGATTAAATCTTTAGCTGCATGTAATATCTTGCAAAACGATTATTTTTCTAAAACATTGCTTGCATACAAATATCTTTCAGCATTCATTTCAAAAGTATTATATCATTTTTCAAATTAAAAAAGACAGTTATCGTCTAATTACATATTAGTCATAGTCGAAGTTATATTATTAAATGGTCCCCAGGAGAGCCTATACTATGTTCTCTAAGCATTTTTAATGCTTCTCCTCTTACAATTTTCCTTACTTTCAAAATATTTGGTGCACAAGTCAAACTTAATTATGTGCATCGGTTTTCATATCGATGATGGGTGTCATCGTTGGCAACTAAAATAGAATAAACCATTTGAAAAAATCAAACATTTAACCCCTCATGCTACAAGTTGCGGAGGGGATATAGAATCGCTAATGCGTGTGTGAATGAGCTATGAAGAAGAACCATGGTACTTAAGATCACCAAACTTTGCATTTTATTTGTCCCCTACCGGTTACACCGGAGGGGAATATAGGTTTCCTCTGCATCTGTCAGTCTTTCCCACTTGGTTTTCCGCACTTTTTTCCTAAACGCTTGCAGATGCTGAGCTGATTTTTGGTATGTGAGTGTATCTTGATGAGTTACAGATCAAGTTTGCATTTCGTTTTGCTTCATTGATTTTTGAAGAAATTAGGACATTTTCAATTTTTAAGGGTTTTCCGCATTTTTTTTTCTAAACACTTGCAGATATTGAGCTGATTTTTGGTATGTGATTTTACCTTGATTAGTTAAAGATTAAGTTTGCATTTCGTTCGCTTCAATTATTTTTGACGGAATTATGACATTTTCAATTTTTAACGGGAACCAGATTACACTTGCCGGTAGGGGACTAGTATTGCTAATGCAATACTCGCAGAATGCTTGTTTTTTTTTAAGATATTGGCAATGCATTACAACCAGCAGTAAGTTTGCACACCAGTGTATAAGAACCTTAACAACAATGTCAATAGACAAATCAATGTATCCGGACATCATAAAAAAGCTAAATCGTTTCTTTATTTTTCTCAATTTTTAACTTGCACATAAGATCTAAGTTATAATTATCGATATCCTGAGATTCACCAATAGCCTTTAAAATCAAAAGAGTTAGACTTTTTACAAATTATGGAAAGTTATGTATATATTTAGTATCGTATCACGAGCATCGAAGCAGATTTCACGTTGCAAGTACCAAATCCCTACTTTAATTTATTTCATCAACGTCTTCATTACTTAACCGATTTATTTCCGCTAGAAAGCTTTAAAATTTGACATGTTTTCTAAATTTAGACAAGCATCAACCAAAGAGTTCAATCACTGTCATACCCAGAACAAAATACCTTCATCATGGGTTCATTGTAAAAAATATCACGCCCGAACGGATAACTCTCATATTTGAAGGTTCTTTTTCACAAATCATTATATTTACATATAAACATTCTTGACGTCGCAATAATCTCTAAACCAATAATTTTCCTATAAATAACTAATTAAAATGATTTATTGTGAGATTAATCAAATACTCTTTTTTTGTGGCTAACTTGCTATTTTGAATATATGAACGGACGTAAACTATATTCTAATCAGGTAGAGAGAATACTGATGAGTATGAGGGGTGTATAAATAGGGAATTAGAACTTCAGTCACCAGTCCTGCCCTGCCAGCACCCTTTACAAGTAAGTATGATATTTACATAACTAAAGTCCCAACAAAAAAATCCATTTAAAAACTATTTTTCTTAGGGATAATTTCTAATTTTTTTGTAATAATAACAACGTTCTCTATTTTTACCTTCAAACATGTTTCTTAGTTTGACTTGCAAACATGTTTCTCAGTTTGATTTGCAAACATCTTACCTATCTTGATTTGCAAACATGTTTCCTATTTTGACTTGCAAACAGGATCTTTCACCTATTCCCATTTTCTAAAAGATCAATATTCTTTCTATCCCCATGCACCTGCTAATAATGCTAATATGATATTTAATATGTTCTAATGGCATGAAAAGTGGATCGAATGTCACCTTAGATTTACCTGTATTTTACACATTTTGAAAATACATAAAAAGAACCATTTTATCTGATTTTATCATTTTTAATCAGATTTCTGAGTACAATATTTTCTGAAAGAAAAAAGAATAATTTGAGATAATCAAATTTAAAATTTAAAAAAATGTAACATTTTCCCTATAGAAAATGCTAATTTTTACAATTTTATTTGATTTTTATCACTTTTAATCTGTTTCTGAGTAAATGTACTACTACGTTATTTGTTTCTGTTTTTTTCATATATCAAAACAGTTATATTTACATACAAAAAAAATCACCCATTTATCTGTCGTCTATCGACACTTATTTTAATTAATCAATGTTTATACAGTATAATTGTTTGTGTGCACAAACTTTCCATCTATTCTCAGGTCATGAAATTTCACCTTTTATTACCCGATTTTTAAAAAGTGGGAATGGGTGGAATGAACCCTTGTAAACATCTTTTACACACAGTGATTTTGGGAGAGCTGCTCACTTTTTGTTCTGTATTGATTAAGGATTGTAATTGATTAAAGATTAATACCAATAGATTCTCTAAATTTTTAAATTTTCATTTAATACATACTGCATACTGATAAGAGAGTTAACAAAACAATCCTACGATTTTCACAATTGACGTTATAATTAATACACAGTTGGACATTGGATGGGTGCAATAATGTAAGCCTGTCCATTTGGGGGGGGGGGGGGGGGTTACAACTCCATAGGATCCCCCTAACGGTACAGGCGCGGGAATGACTTACTCCAGCAGAGATTTTTTTTTAAACTCAGATCTTCTAATCGCAACTTGAATTTGTTCGCTGCGTTTACTTTTTGGGACAGCCAATGAGAATTCGGGAGGGAATCTGGTATATGTAACTGAATACACGAATCCCCTTATTTTATGCATAGAAAAACGTAGTAAATTTAAAGGATGATTCTCTATAAGGCCATTTTCCGGCCTACGATGAAATCACTTAAAAATGTGATTTTATGTAACTTTAATCATTCTATTTCATGATTTTGATGTTTTTTTTTCAACATCAATCACCTAAGTCACGTGATTTAGAGATCACAAACGGCCGTCAATTAAAGAAAAATTGAGGGTAGGTCTATTTACATCAAGTTGCTATGCATGTTTCTAAATGTAAATGATCAAAAATTGTTTATTTATGTCGGAAACATATCAGACTTAAGTAATAAGTGCGGAGATTGTTTAATTGAAGACTAAAGATATTTTTTTATGACAAGAATTTTGATGCGTTCACATTTGGCATATTTTGAATGTAAATCTTTACAAAATGCACCTCGTATGATGTTGAAAAATGTTTAATTAGCATTTAATTAGAAGTTTATATTGTAATTGTGATCATCAATTTAAAGAAAAAAATATTTTATCCGATGGAAATTTAACTCAGAAGCTATTCTGACTATTTTGCCTGAAATCACTCTTAGTAAAAAGGAACTATTTGCACCATTCGGAAATCCTACAGAATTGTAGCCCTCTCCCGAAAACGTTAGAAAAAAAAATAGCCGAGTGCTACACTATTGTAATGAAGAAGAATCCTGATAGTAAGACAAAATCTTTAATAAATTTATTTACAGAATGTTCACCCTGATTTGCGCTGTTGCATTGGTTGCCTCGGCCTTCGCCGATTATGGTTCCAGCCATAAGAACAAACATGCCGTCTACAATACCGTGCCTTACAACACAGTTGGTTTGGGAACTACGGGCGTGCTTGGTTCTGTACAGACGCCATTCCCATATATGGGCGTCAATCAAGGGTTGGCTGGACTCCAAGGAAACTTGATGAACCAATTTCCTTACCAAACATTCCAAGGATACCAGAATCTTCAAGGTTATATGGCTCAACCGTACTTGACACAAGGCGTGGGTTTGAACCAGGGGGTTTTCCCGGGTAACCTGAATTATGGCGATGACGATTATTTCAATAGACTCCAGTACATGTCTATGTTCCAACCTAACTTCAATCAATACTCATCTTATGGTCCATACATGAACAATTATCGATACAACAACGTAGGGGGGTACGGCAGAAGAAGGGTAAGGCAAATTTAAATCTGAATTGTATTTAAGTTAAGTTTGTATTGTTTTTTTTAATTGTAAATTAATTTTTCACCTTTAGACATCGATTTGTCATTTAAAATAATAATATTAAATATTATCTAATTTTAATTTATATCTGTTTAAGTTCCATTTAAAGTGTGTTCAGGCATTGACAGTTAATCTGAAAAATACCTACACTGTGTATAAATAATCATACAAGTACAATATATAATAAAAAAGTTAATTCCTTAAGCTTTATTCACTAAATGATAAAACGTCCCTTGTCTTATTTCAGAGTGTGTATTGAAAGACATAGACGATTGATCCAAATTGTTGAGCCATGATTATGAATGTTTGTTTTATGAATAAATACTGCAGTTAATTAAAGTCTTATTGTTTTATATAGTTATATTACGCATGAAATTTTCAATTCTAGAACAGGTTTTCATTGTGACGGAGAATATTTATGAGGTTACATGTATGTACTTCAGTCGTTGTTGAGGGAATATCTGCTCTATGACGTGACGATAAGAAAATTCTTACGAAGACCGGTCTTTATAACAATTTTTGTAGTATTTATAAACATAAGTAATCTAAAATTAGAAAGGTCACTATGACAAATGTTTTCGATTATAAAGACTGAGTGTCAGACCAAACAACTTTATGGTAATGTGCATCCCTAGATACAACATATACCAAGTTTGGTCCAGGATCTATAGAATACTTGAAAATGGACCTTCCAAAAACTATAACTGTACAATTACACTGCAAATAAAGGTCACATCCAGCTTCCAAAGCATATATAGGTGTGTACATTCCTAGTACATATGTAACATGCAAAATCCACAAAAAAACGGCTTAGGTTACTTAGAATGGACCATCTGTAAAACTTAAACCTGTTCATTCCAATAGAAAACATAGGATAGATCCAGCATCTGAAGTATGTCTGTAGTGTTCATCCCTAGAGGCATCATCATCATACAAAAGTATGTATAAATTTAACCTTGGCCATAACTTTTGAACAATTGGTGCTAGGGCTTTCATTCTTCACATGTGTAATACTTGTGACAAGACCTTCCTTTAGATACCATTAATTATAGCCCTTGACCTTGGAGTTTGACCTACTTTGAAATACTTTAACCTTGGCCATATCTTTTGAACGGTTGATGCTAGGGCTTTCGTATTGCACATGTGTATTTCTTGTGATAAGGCCTTTCCCTGAGCACCATTAATTTTGACCATTTGAAAAACTTTAACCTTTTCCATATCTTTTCAATTGTTGCTGCTAGAGCTTTTATATTTCACAGGTGTATTCCTCGGGACAAGACCTTACTTTAGGTACCAACATATTTGATTTGCATTAGAGAAAGTTTAACCTTCGCTATAAGTTGCCATACGGGGGCATCAGTGTTTCACAAACACATCTTGTTTATTCCTGGTCATCTTTCTGACATTTAATGATGTATACTGTGAAATTATATAAAGTAATTACTACTGAAAACTATTCCCAAACCAGAAGGCTCAAACGAGTCTGTAGCTCTACTGGTTTTTTACTCAACAAAAGTAGAGAATGGTAGCACTTGGACTTGAAACTATGGCAATAGCAATAAATAAAATAATTATCCTTGCTTAAGTCTCTTTCTGAGAAAAGAACTGTAGTAGGAGTAGGAGTAACATTATGAAAGAATTTCACAGAAATTTCTATTTTAGTAACCATGGCAACACTTCAACAAAATCAAAAACCGATAAACAGAATTATGTATCTTAATGTAGTCTACGTTTGTACCAAGTTATTTTGAAATCGGACTACAACTGTAGGAGGAGAAGCATTTGGAAAGAATTTCACAGAAATTTCTATTTTTAGTAACCATGGCAACCCCGTTCATTGAAATTAAAAACCGATACTAAGAATTATGTATCTAAGTGTAGTCTACTTGTGTACCAAGTTTTATTAAAATTAGTTTAAAACTGTAGAAAGAGTAGAATTTTGAAAGAATTTCACAGAAATTTCTATTTTTAGTAACCATGGCAACATTGCTAACTGAAATCAAAAGCCAATATACAGAATTATATATCTTAACAAAGTCTACTTGTGTACCAAGTTATTCAGAAATTGGACTGAAACTGTAGGAGAAGTATTTTACAGAAATTTCTCTTTTTTAGTAACCATGGCAACACTGCTAACTGAGATCGAAAACTGAGAATAATGATGGATTTAGACTGTAGGAAGAGTAACATTTTGAAAGAATTTCACAGAAGTTTCTAGTAACTGTGGCAACACCAACCAAAATCAAAAACCAATATATAAAATTTTGTATCCTAATAAAGTCTACTTGTGTACCAAGTTATTCAGAAATTGGACTGAAACTGTCGGAGGAGTAGCGTAACAGAAATTTCTATTTTTATTAATCATGAAAACACCGTTCATCGAAATCATAATCCGATATACAGAACTATGTATCTTAGTGTAGTCTACTTATGTTCCAATTTTTATTGAAACTGGAATTGGAGAAATTAGAGTAAAACTATTAGAGGAATAGCATTTTGAAGAAAAAAATCACAGAAATTTCTATTTTTAGTAACCTTGGCAACGCCTGTCATCGAAATCGAAAAAACCGGTATACAGAATTATAATCTTAGTGTAGTATAGATGTATACCAAGTTATATTGAAACTGGACTAAAACTTGAGGAGTAGAGTTTTGAAAGTTTCACGGAAAATTCTATTTTTAGTACCTTAGTGTAGTCTACTTGTGCACCCAGTTATAGTGAAATTGGTCTAAAACTGTAGGAGGAGTAGCATTTAGAAAAAATTTTTACAGACAGGCGGACGGACGACGGACACCTGACTATCGCATAAGCTCTTCTAGTCTCTGACCAGTAGACCTAAAAAATTTAGATTTCACCAAATTTTAATTGATAAACTCTTGATGCCCAGGTGACTGCTAGAGGGTAAGGGTCTCTCATTACTCTACATCTAAGTCCCAAACATTTGACGTTAAGAGTGTTAAATATGTCTAATTCTTTGCAAGAAGCAATAAATTGGCCATAAAGCATGCATGACGTGATGAATTTATAGCCTCCGTGAATCTCGTAAAGTCTTTGTATTCACTCTAGATCTGGATATTACATGTGATATTGATACAATTTAACTTAATCACCGGGAAATGTTAATTAGAAGATTTTAAATTGTTTTTGAATGATGATTTATACCTTTAAGGACACTTAATTAAACTGTTAACTAAACAAAATGGATCATAATTACATTTTTTGGTAAGGATTGTGTTCAAATTTCAACTGGGAGACCGTACCTAGGGGTCATTAAATATGTATTTCATGGGGATGCCTTAATTTTGTCATAAGGTATGCAGACTTAAAATGTGCATCAGTTAATTTCAGTTTATAAAACTGTTATTGTGAAGAAGGCGTATAAATTCTTTCTGTCAACTTCTGCAAACATTCTGACCACAAAAAGGTGTTTTAGATCACATTTCCAGAACGTTGAATCCTAGGTGAGAAGGAATTGACAAATGATGGTTGATGACTTTAGAGTGGCGTAACATCACACACAAATCAACCAATCAACAGGCTTTTGACGTGCCGTCATTTTGACGAAGGTGTCAAAGGTTTTTGTCGTCGCTGTCGTTTGAATTGATAATTATAAAATCTTGCATTGTCTAATTTAAACTAACCTACTTCCCCCTTGAACAAGCAACATGAAGGTAAGAAAATATTTTATATTGGTTGTTCACATTTATTTCAAATTGTTTACAATACAAATAAAACAGATAAGGTAAAGGGACTCAATGGAGAACGATTTTCTGTTCACTGAAAAGGACTTTTTTCTTAATGAAGATTTTCTAAACATTTGGGTAAATAAATATGAAATCCAAACAACACAGAATGTTTGCCATACAGGAAGAATATTAGACAAAACATTGTTGAAAATATAAAGCTTTTATAGAAAGCATAATGATTTATCAATTTTAAATTTCTGTCTTGAGACTTGTCAAATTGGTGTTAATTACAGGAAGTGGTGGTAGTTCTTGTTACATTGTTCATAACAACCCACGTGTACGGGGACATCCTGTTGTCTGATAAAACATATGTTAACGGTGTCCTAGTGGCTGAGAAAAAGGTCCCGGAAGTCCAGAAACGGAACTTTCAGCGAGTTTGGGTTGATGAGGCAGTCAGCGTTATGTCCATGGGTGAAACCCCAAAACCTCTGTACGTGGGCAACGCTGTTGTCATGCAGTCACATGACTACAAAGATGGCGCCTTCTTCCCAATTGGACCTAAAAAGAGTTTTAAGGCTTTTTATTTCCGAAATCAACCTCCTATTCCACGATCCGTGATGGCGAAATATGGACTTTTATAACTGGTTTATATCAAATACAACTTTTCGTATTAATATTTCTTGAATTTCTTTACTCAGATGACGATGGTGATGGCGATAATTCGAGTTTCCATTCCAAAATCAAGAATGGTTGATAAAACTGGATATCCACAACAAACAATTGTATTGTGCCATACAAAAAACATAGCGTGTTCGTTTCTTTTGCATCAATCGTGTTTAAGTAGCAGAAAAACATACATTTATATGAATGTATTTACAAATAACCAATTTCTATGTAGCGAAATATCCAACGGAAATGATATGAAAATAGTGATTAATGAACACCAATTCCGGTGCAATTTACCTCTTTGACAGCTTTTGTTTCTGACTCCGTTCTTGTATGTTTTTGATTGTATATTTCTGGGCTAAAATACTCCAGTATTCATACAAAAGGGAGGATATGTGCTCATTTGAATATTTTTATCTTAGTTGCTTATTCTGGTCGATAGATATGCAATTTTTTCTCATTTTCTGCTTCGTAATTCCTTTCCCTATAATATGACTATGTCTTATGCTTTCGTGTAAATTAATTGAACTGATTCGTCGAAAAACATTTGTTTCAAAAACACTCTTAGCTTATGATGAAACCATGCCCTACAGCGTAGCAACATTGCTTGACAACGGGTAATATTCCCAAAAATATTGACTGGGTAGAATTTATGCGGGCACGGTTCAGTGTATAAAACATTCATTATAATATAATAAATACTGCATGTAGTTAAATATAACATAGGAAATTGTCATATTTTTCAAAATTTTCCCAAGAAATCCATTGTCAACCGAGGCGCAGCCGAGGTTGATATTGATTTACAAGGGGTGAAAAATTTCAAAGTTACCTTCAACTACATACAATATTTATATAACTCAAAACCCTATAGATCTTTTATACCTATCAAAGCCTTAAAAACCGAGGTCAAATCGCTCTTTAAGGACATACGCAACGTAGTTTGAACTTTATTGTCTTTTACCCTGGAGTTGAAGAGTTCCAATACTTAAAGGAACTGTGTGCTACATTTTTATGTCTATATATGCTGTTGTACACTTCTTCTAAAACAAGTTTGGATAAACAAATTATCTAGAATATATGTTTAGTTATTTTTGTATATTTTTCTTTGAATTATATGAGAATTTTCATCAATTGATATCTTTTCAAAACCCCTGGTAATGCATGCTGATTTTTTGTCTACGAACATCTGATGACACTATAATCTTAAATTAAACATATCTCGAAAAATTATCAGTAGGTAAGGTACGTTGCGTATGTCCTTAATTCCCCGTGTTGTCAGTATTGTAGTTAAAATTTAAAAGGGGTTTTATTAACAAGAAGTATAGGGAATAGTATACTATAGTTTACTTTAGTATCATAGTACATACATGTTCTTTGATTTACTACAGTGGATACTATGGAACTTTGAGTTACTGTAGTTTACGCTGTGCATTTAACACATGTGCCATGGGAATTCCATAGTTAACCATAGTCAACTATAATTTAACACAGTAAACTTTAGATCTCTTTATTAAACTATAGTTTAATATCTTGTCAAAATAAATGAACATACTTTGACACAAATGATTTCCTATGTACATTATTTTTTTCCCCTAAAGTGAAAACTTTATTTACTATATAGTAAAAAAAAAAAACAAACTTTTTTACTCTGATTTTTATAGTGAATACTTAAGAAAGTAAATGCTTTAAATAACTAAACTAAATCCTTTTTTTACTGTAGTTAAAACTTGATACTTTAATTTATTAATGTGACTATAATGGAACTTTGATTAACTAATTACAAATATTTTGACTTATTATAGTGAAAAGCTTTGATACTTTGATTTATTGTAATAAAGACTATGAAACTTTGATTAAATACAGTAAAAAAATTTGATATGGTTTACTATAGTCAACAAACTTAAGTTTACACCAATATTTCTGTGACAAGTGTTCCACAGTTTGCTAAAAATACAATATTTTTTAATGTTATGAATTGTAAATTTTGTAGGTTACATCTAGTCATTTAATTTCAAATTACAGCTGTACATGAAGGACACCAGCATATCCCCCTCCCCCTCTTCGCCTCCCAGGCCGTATCACATCATAAAATAATTTTTGAGTGATTTAATTTTTTTCTCAGAAATTTCTTAGTTTTAGTACATTTAGTTGAGTACCTCTAAGTCTTCAGGTAAGGATGTTGTCATGTCATGTAAGGTTAACAATTAATTCTGATGATACATGGTGGTAATAGAATTGTGACCAGGATGACGTGTTTAGCAAAGATACATGGCGGTAATAGAATTGTGACCAGGATGACGTGTTTTAGCAGACTCACACTGAATAGTGATTCAACTTTCTGTAGACTATTTAGCACATATTTCATTATTTGCGGAAATGTTTAATTCAACCGAGAAATGATCTACATATGTCTTGGGAAACCAGTCGAATATATTTCCCCTTGTATATAAACCTGCGGGCAAAATAACTACTTTGATTTCCTTGTTAACTTTTAATTAAGCATGATTAATTACGTGTTTTCAATTAAGGGGAAAGGACATAGAGGATAGTGAATTAATACATTTAGATATTCTCCTTCATGAATGTTAGCACTAAATGATGCGTGACCACAGACCACACCTTTATCAAACGACCCTAACAGAAACATGTTTATTTATGACGTTGGTGAACAACGCATTTCATGCAATAGTCTTTGATTCAAATTTCATATAGAGGGTAAAGGTTAAATTATACCTGGACTGCCAATTGTTTCTTGGTATCTTGAAATTTGCATATTTTAAATTGTTTGGTACTCTGCCAGTCTAACTTCCATCTTATCTGTACCAATTAATCACAATCTATCTCAGTATGCCCACACCAAACTAGAAAACATCACGATCAGAAGCTGGTCATCTATACACAGATGTTACTTTGGTTCAAATCTTTTACTTCTCTTATAATAAGCTTTCAAACATGCTTCTTATTACTGGGGTTTACAGCAGGTCAAGTAGGACCACGGGTCACCCGCAAATAGTTCATTTCGCGTAGTAATGATACACTACATGAATCTGTATATGAATCTTCGGACACAAGAGGCGCAAAAAAAAATTACTATTAATACGTAATTCAGAGGTCACCCAATATTGTACATGTACATGTCAATATCGTAATGGAGTCTATGAGTTCCTTAAGTGATGTATCATTATGAAGACTACGAATTTGTTGTATCAATACAGAGACAAGGGATCACCTAACTCGTAAAGACTCAACACAGTAGGTGACCTCTGGTCCCCGAATTGGTATACATGTACCACATTAAAGTCTCTGCTTTGATATAGCATAATAACTTAATTTAAAACATAAGGTGATGTTGGTCTACAAAGTGACAGTGACAGACAGTCAAATACGGAGACCAGAGGTCACCTCGTACGATATATCAATACGGAAACTACATATCATCTAAACCAATCAGCCTCTTATAAGCAGGCGATAGGCACACAATGTAGTATATATCAATGCGGAGACCAGAATTCAAATAATATGGTATCAATGCTGTATATCAAAACAGAGACTACACTTAAACCAGAAGTCAGCCTCTTAAAGAAGACCAGAGGTCACCTAATGTAGTACATGTATATCAATACGGAGACCAGAGGTCATCTAAGGTAGTATATCAATACGGAGACCAGAGGTCACCTAATGTAGTATATCAATACGGAGACCAGAAGTCACCTAATGTAGTATATCAATACGGAGACCAGAGGTCACCTAATGTAGTATATCAATACGGAGACCAGAGGTCACCTAATGTAGTGTGTATCAATACGGAGACCAGAGGTCACCTAATGTAGTGTGTATCAATACGGAGACCAAAGGTCACCTAATGTAGTATATCAATACGGAGACCAGAGGTCACCTAATGTAGTATATCAATAAAGAGACCAGAAGCCACCTAATGTAGTATATCAATAGGGAGACCAGAGGTCACCTAATGTAGTATATCAATACGGAGACCAGAGGTCACCTAATGTAGTATATCAATATGGAGACCAGAGGTCACTAATGTAGTATATCAATACGGAGACCAGAGGTCACCTAATGTAGTATATCAATACGGAGACCAGAGGTCACCTAATGTAGTGTGTATCAATACGGAGACCAAAGGTCTCCTAATGTAGTATATCAATACGGAGACCAGAGGTCACCTAATGTAGTATATCAATACGGAGACCAGAGGTCACCTAATGTAGTATATCAATACGGAGACCAGAGGTCACCTAATGTAGTGTGTATCAATACGGAGACCAAAGGTCACCTAATGTAGCATATCAATACGGAGACCAGAGGTCACCTAATGTAGTATATCAATACGGAGACCAGAGGTCACCTAATGTAGTATATCAATAAAGAGACCAGAAGCCACCTAATGTAGTATATCAATAGGGAGACCAGAGGTCACCTAATGTAGTATATCAATACAGAGACCAAAGGTCACCTAATGTAGTATATCAATATGGAGACCAGAGGTCACCTAATGTAGTATATCAATACGGAGACCAGAGGTCACCTAATGTAGTATATCAATATGGAGACCAGAGGTCACCTAATGTAGTGTGTATCAATACGGAGACCAGAGGTCACCTAATGTAGTATATCAATACGGAGACCAGAGGTCACCTAATGTAGTATATCAATAAAGAAACCAGAAGCCACCTAATGTAGTATATCAATATGGAGACCAGAGGTCACCTAATGTAGTATATCAATACGGAGACCAGAGGTCACCTAATGTAGTATATCAATACAGAGACCAGAGGTCACCTAATGTAATATATCAATACAGAGACCAGAGGTCACCTAATGTAGTATATCAATACCGAGACCAGAGGTCACCTAATGTAGTATATCAATACAGAGACCAAAGGTCACCTAATGTAGTATATCAATATGGAGACCAGAGGTCACCTAATGTAGTATATCAATATGGAGACCAGAGGTCACCTAATGTAGTATATCAATAAAGAGACCAGAAGCCACCTAATGTAGTATATCAATAGGGAGACCAGAGGTCACCTAATGTAGTATATCAATATGGAGACCAGAGGTTACCTAATGTAGTATATCAATACGGAGACCAGAGGTCACCTAATGTAGAATATCAGTACGGAGATCAGAGGTCACCTAATGTAGTGTGTATCAATACGGAGACCAAAGGTCACCTAATGTAGTATATCAATACGGAGACCAGAGGTCACCTAATGTAGTATATCAATACAGAGACCAGAGGTCACCTAATGTAGTATATCAATACGGAGACCAGAGGTCACCTAATGTAGTATATCAATACGGAGACCAGAGGTCACCTAATGTAGTATATCAATACGGAGACCAGAGGTCACCTAATGTAGTATATCAATATGGAGACCAGAGGTCACCTAATGTAGTATATCAATATGGAGACCAGAGGTCACCTAATGTAGT